CCCCTCCCCCTCCATTTTCTTTAGTTTTCTTTTCCTTTTTCTTTAGTTTTCTTTTCCTTTTTCTTTAGTTTCAGGTGCACTTGTACAATCATGTGGCCACATCATCCCGGAGTCTCCTGTGTTGGCCCTTGGTTCGAATTTCACAGCACTGTGCATCCTGAATGAGAGTTGTCTTGACTTTGGCAATATATATGCTAATCAAATTATTTGGAAAATTAAAAACAGAATGGTACCTAAAGAACAATACCGTGAAATAAACAGGACAGTGTCCAGTGTCACATTTAATGACACTTCTTCACTTGCTACTCCTCTGACATGCAACATTTTGGCTGATGGACAGATGGAGCAGAACATCTATGGTATTACAGTTACATTAGGCTGTGAGTACTTAAATGCACATTACACATTAACTTTTTACTACATAATTAAAAAGTTAGTACTGTAGATTAGAAAGGGTTTTTATCTTTTTTTTCTGCTTTAAGGATGAGAGGTGTTTCATACCGTTCCTTATTTAGCTGCTTGTTCCCTGCTGTTTCTCAGAACAGCTGATTAATGCCTTGACTTCCATCACTGGATGATCTCTAGCACTTTTTACCTCCTACTTTAAGAAGTCATTTAAATGTATATGTGTATAGGTATTTAATATTTATATATTGATATAGATATGTTTATGATGTTCACTGAAATTGCTCTAATAGGTTACTTAGTGTGATTCTTATGGTTTTGAAATGTTTATGGATTATCTTTAGTGTTTCTTATGTGTTTATGGACTGTCCTCACTAATTTTTTTCCATATAGTGCCTCCAGAGAAGCCCAAGAACTTAAGTTGCATTGTTTACCAGGTGTCAAAACTTATATATCCTATGACTTGTACCTGGGACCCTGGAAGGCATACATTCCTAGACACTCAATTCAGGTTGAAATACAGGTGGTAAGTAGCTCTATAAAGTGTGTATAAAACACTTTGAAGAATGCTTGTAGGCTAAACCCATCTTCTCTGAAACTTCTTGATGCTTAGAAAAATTCAGTTTTCTGAAGCATTGCTGCTTGTCTTTGGGCATGGGAAGTGTTAAATAAGTTCATATTTTAAGTAATTAAAAGTGAAACTTCAAATTTTGTCACTGAATTTGTCTTGGTGACACTATCTCACACTTTTCCATTTCTCAAATATGTAATTTCTCAAATAGCATGGCTCGAGTGTGGTCACAGTAGGTGACTGGACACAGAATACCTATTTTTACCTATTTGTGATGACTGTTCTATCCCATACCAAAAAGTAAAGAAACCAAATATAGTGATTGGATCCTGCAGAGGTATGGCATTTGAGGAGCCTGTTCTTGTCCTGTTTAAATCTAAGCCTAACACAAGCTTCAGTTGTGAATGGAGCTTTTTCCACATGGAGGCAAATATTTCTTTCTGACTTTTCAGGTGATCTCTTGTAGTTTGAGATGGAGTAGACAGTACTCTTTCCAAGTATTTTGATAAAATAAGAGTATAGTAGAAGCCTTGGTAGATTTAAAAACTAATGCTAAGCCAGCTTCCTTTTAATGCCCCTAAAACTCTCTCTGTGCTGTTAGTGCAACAGAAGATGATGAATAAAAATAGTGTAGTAGATGTAACACTATTTTGGGGAGAATATGCTGTTAAAAAGCAGGCTACCTCTTTTTGAATGCATAGCTGTGCTTTTAGTCATATTGCTCATGGTTACATGTACCAGTTCTTGAACTTTAAGCTACTGTTTTTCATAGCACTTCATTATGATAGTAGTTTAGCCTTCTTAAGGTATGAGATTTGGAATCAAGAGACTGCATTCTAGTTTCTATTCTAATGCAGTCTTGCTTTTATGACTGAGGAGGCTGCTCTAATCTCCAACTCTTCTCCCTTACAGTGAAGATAATGGTAAAGAAGGGAGCAAGAGCTAAACTGATTACTGTTCATTGAGCTCTCATCTTCTTGAAGAGGCTCTATAAAGAAACCAAACTTCCTGTTTGATACCTTGTTCTTACTTTATTCAGGCCAAGAGAAGATTTTCCTGACTGTATACCAAAAGATGCAAATAGCTCTTGCACCATTACTGATGTTCAGTTCTTTGTTAACCTGGAGGTCTGGGTAGAAGCTGCAAATGCTCTTGGCAAGGCTGAATCCGATCGTCTCATTTTTGATCCCATTGAGATAGGTAACCACATGCCTCTTCTTAAAGCTTGAGTAGCACCTACGTTTGCCTTTGTGTATTGCTGAACCAGAATATTAATTGTTCTTCACTATATAATTCCCAATGTTAGCAAAATATTGTCCCCAACTTGAACTGTGCTGGACAGAGTTGAGAGGAGGTGATGGATTTGCTTGCTGTTTATATAGCAAGTCTTTAAGTAGTCTGCTTTAGACCTTAGACAGCCACTTCTGTTTGTGAAAGTTTATATATTTATATATAAATAGGGTACCTACAATTATAGAGGCATAATAAAACAGTGCTGCCCTACAACTGACTTGCCTTTTTTTCCTCTCTCTTCTAGTGAAACCACTGTCTCCGCATAACTTATCTATCAATTCAGGAATATTGCCTAGCGTTCTGAAACTTTCATGGGAGAACCGAATTTCAGCAGCTGCTATGAAACTGAAATTCAATATTCGCTATAGGATTATTGGTGAAACAGACTGGATGCAGGTAATGCTAGTATTGTTTTGTCAGAATCAAATTGCTGAACTGCAGCAGAAGTGGGAGTTTTGTGTTCTGCTCCCAAGATAGTCTGCCTGGCTTATCCTGAAGGCTGGTGTCTAGGTGAGTTTTCTGGTGGTGGTTTTAACCAGAAAATTGTGTCGTCTTACCTTTTTTTTGGGGGGGGGAGGGGAACACACTTATCAGTTTTCCCCCCTGTCACACTGAGGGATGTTCTGCACTTTTTTTTCTCTACATGCAGTATCTAATCTAGAACATCAACTTTCTTTGCACATGCAAAACTACTTATCTAAAATCCACTTGGGCAAACACTGCACAATTCTGGGATGTGCTTTTCAAGCTTGCAGAACATAAACAATGATTGTTCTGCATGTGTTTCAAGTTGATACTCATTCTTTTCCAATATCTTGATTGTATTCCTTAACTGTAGTGCATTATAATATATACATGTAATATCAAGAATTGACTTATTTTTCTTGTTTTTATGTCACTGTCCTTTAGCCACTGCCCTAGATTGCCAAGCCTATGCTAGAAGCCTCCTATCAATCTAGCTAGTTTGCAATTGGTAGTCTAGCAGATATGCAAAAAAAGCCCTGAAACATGAGGTAGATTATTACAAAATAGCAGGTAGAAGTTATGTGGGGAGGAAGAAACTTTATACAACTTGTCTGCCTCTTTTAGCATAAACTGATTGAAAGTGAAAACAAAATATATAAAGGTTGCCCAGAGATAGCTGTTTACCCATTCTAGGTTTTGTTTTGTATTACACCTGGTAAGGAAGCATAGCTATGTGTTTATTTATCAAGAGAGTGGTTGAATTAAGCCTTTTGGAAATAGAATGAAGAAACTCGATGTACTGAATCTATGAAGTGTGTGTGTGTGTGTGTGTGTGTGTGTGTAGGGTATAAATCTCTTGGTAAGAAGCTGTCTTGAGAGCTATAGTAGCATAGAACTCAACTATTACAGTTCTTGGTCATTGCCTCTAAAATGTCTTCCTTCCCTTACAGATCCCTCCTGAAGATACAGCCTCACCAAGAACTTCCTTCAGTGTTCAAAGTCTCAGGCCCTACACAGAATATGTCTTCTCAATTCGGTGCATGAAAGAAGATGGAGTGGGCTATTGGAGTGACTGGAGTGAAGACAAGACTGGGATGACAACTGAAGATAGTAAGTAAGGCATGAAAGTAGGAGACTAGCTGTCAAACTGCAAATGTTCATCAGCTTGTCAAAAGCCAGCTGATATTCTGTAGTTTTGAGCTGTTTGCTTATTCATGCAACAAGGCCTCTCCTGAATTGCATTTAAAACAGATTAACCAGGCATTTCAAAGAGCATGAGAATAACTTTAACAAGAACTCATGTTCTCAGACACAAAACCATTTTCTTTTATGTACTCCTTTTCAGGGGGTGCTGGAGAACTGATTTTATTCTGAATTTATTCTGTTATAGAAGTTATGCTGCTTGTATGAATTTTTCATGGATCCTTATTTCATAACTTGGAGGGGGTTAGAGTGCTAGAAAGTCACAGGGCAACAGATATCAGTCAATATGGACTAGAAGATTCCAGTCATATGGTGTACATAAACTTCTTGCTAAACTAAATAAAGAATTAAAACATACATATTGAATGTATAGCTACTTGTTCACCCCAAAAATACAAATAAGACTATTCTGTTTTGCTCTTAACATCTTTCCTGAGAAACTTTGCGTCTGCAGTGTTTTCTTGTCACAGCATCACTATACCCTTGTCTTGCAATCTTGCATCCACTTGCTCACATTATCTACAGTAATCAAGGGTGTTACTCTCCTCTATTACTAAAGAATATTAAGAAAAAAAAGCTATTTAATGACCTGTTTATTTTAAGCAAGATTAAACCTATGTGGAAAATAGTTTTATCCATTTTTTTTACGATTCTATATCTGGATGAAGGCATGGAGTGCTGCCTCAGCAAGTTTGCTGATGATACGAAACTGGGAGGAGTAGCTGATACCCCAGAGGGCTGCGCTGCCATCCAGAGGGACCTGGACAGACTGGACAACTGGGCGGTGAAAAAACTCATGCAATTCAACAAGGCCAAGTGCAAGGTCCTGCACCTGGGGAGGAATAACCCCAGACACCAGGACAGGCTGGGGACTGACCTTCTGGAGAGCAGCTCTGCAGAGAAGGACCTGGGTGTCATGGTGGATGACAAGTTGACCATGAGGCAGCAGTGTGCCCTCGTG